GAGAGAGAGAGAGAGAGAGAGAGAGAGAGAGAGAGAGAGAGAGAGATTTAGATGAGCGTCGTCGTCGAGGAGGTGGTGTCCTGGTGGTCGTTGTCGTGGGCCACAGAGTTTGCACACGCGGTAGAATCTCGCTCTAACGGGATGCTGACTTAGGCTACGGTGACCGATGGTTAGCACCTTAACTTACGTCGAGGATCGCGATGTGGTCTATTATAATGCACACTCCAGGAGTCAGAGGTTACGTCTTTCCGTTGGGCAGAGGTTCTGTCTGTGCAGAGCTCAGAGAACTGAATGCGAATTTCGGGCTCCGAGGCCCGGCTTTTATACTATTAGCTTCGAGGGCAAGTGCGGAAGTGGTGATGAGCGGGGGCCCTTCGATCATTTTCCGAATTTATTAATTTGTACCTTAATTAGTACTCCGACTAACTTGAGTCTTGGTTAGCTTCAAAGGGGGCCAACGCTCGTCATTTTCCCGCTTACTCTTTATTAATTGCATTTTGCGCTCCCGAATTATTAACGCGCATACCAATCTCGTGTTTTTGCATATAGAGTTCCGCTATGCTGCTCCGAAGCGCGTAAACATGGAACGTTCCAGAATTTCATCGCTAGATTCGCAATAATACCAAAAGTATTAATTTCCCGAGGTTTGAACGCGCGGTTTGCCGCGGCGGCTTGAAGTGGAAGCGCGTAGCGCCCCCGTACGTGGCTGAGATCAACGGTTCGTGTGGCGGTAGCTCCGTTCTTGAGAACCGTTCATGTCAGCTCTTTAACGGCTTATTTCTTAATAATTAACGCATATTCTTCGGATTTCTTTTATTAGGGCGAAAGCGGAGGCGCCAAAGGTCGGCCTGTTACAGTGGTTGCCTCGGCTGTCGCGTAATTAATCCAGAAATGATAGTAGAGAAAATAAGAATAGAGAACGTATAAGATCACGTGCCGCGCGCGTGCTACGTTCCGCGTCGCGCCGGAGCTCTCTATCGGGTGGGCGATCATTACTGCTTCGTGAATAGTGACGTTTGACGAAAAATAATTCGTCGGACGTAACATAGTATATTTTTATTGTATGTTATCACACTTGCAATGTAAAATTATATTAAAGAAATTTTATATAATTTTTATTGTAATCGTAAACCTAATATACGGTATCCACATTTAAGTTTATAGAAAAGTTACAGGTGATATAGTAATAGAAAAGTGATAGGAAAGACACAAGTGATATAGTAATTAATAACATCGCAAAATTACACAGTAACGTAATAAGCTATAAGAAAGTTCAAATGTTAATAAATCATAATGTGGGGTCTACAATGAGAGTCGCAGAGTCGCAGTCGTAAGAATAATCCACTGTAATTGGTGAATTCAGTCAGACACATAAGAATTAACCAATTATAGTCGACTATTCTTACGACTACGGCTTTACGACTTCTATGTAGACGAGGCTTAAGATTTTGATATATGGTATATGTTGGGTATGTATTTCCGCCCATTTTAATATAATATAATAAAATAAAGCTAATCTTATAATAAGTATCTCTCTCTTTCTACTTCTCACATTATTCTTATGTTATTCTGCATCATTAATAACTAAACCTTTAAATGCACATCTATATTGCCAAGGAGCTTCTCGTTCACCTAATTCCGATACAAAATAATCTCTCAACGTATTCCTCTGCTGAGTAGCATCTTTGCGAGCATTGTTAGCACCTATTCGTGTCAAATCCACGAAATTACCAAGTACTGTTTGATCCTTCAAGCTACCTAATGTTCTATCATCGTTTTCCTCATGATCAAGGTTCCCACAGTCAAATAAATCATTTGGACAATACGTTCTCGTTTGTAGTTTCGTATACTGTTCTTCTGCAGTTGTAAGGTAATTATGTAGGCACACTATAGCCTTAATCATATGAGTTGCATTGTCCGGGGTGCAACAAATTGTTCTGGTTAGTATTTGCCAGCGGGAAACCAATATTCCGAAAGCATTCTCGATAATTCTTCTCGCTCTAGATAAGCGGTAATTGAGCACACGTTCTGCATCTCCCAAATCCTTTCTATTATATGGACGAAGTAAGTATGTTTTTAGAGGGAAGGCTTCATCTCCCACAAATACGTGATGAATAGGTATATTAGTTAATGGTAAATTCTTTGGGGGAGGAAGATCGATATATCCACGTTCCAAATCGTTTCCAAATTTTGATCTACTCCACACTCCGCCATCACTTATAGATCCTGGAAAAGAAATAATTGAAAAATTACGGATGTATGAAGTTCTCTTGAATGTCAATAAAGGAAAAGAGAAAAATTGTTCACTTACCATACTGACCAATGTCAACCCAAGTGAATTTACATCGAGCGTCACATATTGCTAAAAGGACAATACTAAAATATTGCTTGTAATTATAAAAGTCTGACCCACTGTTTGGAGGACATCGTATCTTAATATGTTTCCCATCTATCGCTCCGATACAGTTGGGAAACTGCCATCTCAAATAAAATTCATCAGCTACGTTGGACCATTTCTCACTATTCATGTCCGGGAGATATGTTGGTTGAAAAGCATTCCAAATGGCTTGGCATACCTCAGATATAATTTTATATGCTGTAGATCTTCCTATTTGAAATTTCCAGGATTGTGTACGTACAGCATTTCCATGAGCAAGATAACTGAAAAAAGTCTTAATATTAACAAATATTTCATACAAGAAAATTTTATTATATACTTCAAAGCGTAACTTACGACAGTTTTAAAGCGACACGTAAGCCTACTGGTAGAGGTTTTCGTATGCAGTTTTCTGGGTTTGGTAAAAATGGTGATACCATTTCAACCAGTTGATCAAATTTATGAGGCCACATCCGAGTAAATTCAAAAAATTCTTCATGATCGCAATTTTTCATGTACGTAAATATGTTATCGTAGCGTCCTTTTTGTTTACGTGTTCTATTAATCGGTCGAATCCACCACCTTCGTTCTTTTTTTATTGCGAGTTTACATAAGTTTAATGCTATTGCATTTAGAGTATAAAATAAAAATAACAACAAAGGTTTTTTGTCTGTATCCATTTTCTTTCAGAGTTAAACAACACTTCAGAGGTTAACTACACGTAACAGCAAAACAGACAAACGCAGCTCAGTTGCGTGATGCCTTGCGTTCAATGTAGACATCACCCTTGCAAAGTGATTTGCGTCGCGCGAATGCGTCCTGCGTTTTTCTTGCGTCTGCGTCCTGCGTTTTGCGTATTGCGTCCTATGTAGACGGCTCTTTAAAGTATGCAATTGCTTGCTTGCGTGCGTTGCAAAAGCGAGATGCGACGAGTCTCAGATGTGCAGTTGCCTGCGTGCGTCGCAGTCGCTATCCGCAACGTTCTTCAAAGTTGAAAAGAGAGAGAGAAAGTACCTTCTGGAAATCCAGACGATCCATCTGTATGGCCAGCATCAATCTATCAGAGCCAACAGCAGATTGGCTAACCTAACCTAACCTAACCCCCGATAAAATCGCGGGGTGCGCACCTCCCTCGTCCAGAAAAATCTGGTGTGTAACGGGACTCAAAATGGTGACGGATGAATCCGTCGTAAAGCAAGGCCTCGGTTAAATGAGATGAGCCGAATCCCAAGCCAACTAACCTCGTCGGTCCTTCTAGCGCTTGCTCTATGAAAAAGCAAGCTCGCAGTATCTCTCATCGCGTAATAAAACATCTCTCGCAGAAAATCAGTGGAAAAAGGACTTCACAATCCTATGCACACGTCCTCTCGGTCGATGAGATCGGGCCCAAGGAGGAAATCAACGAACTTTCCATCAGGCGCCTCGCAGCCTGACTCTTCTCTCACTGCTAGGGTGACCAACTCTTAAACATTTAATTTCGGGACATCAGTTTCCGATAATCGGGACAGAACCAAAAAAATCGGGACTTTTATTAGTATATCAGATTACCTTGTAATATGCATGTACATGTTCCTTCTTGTTCATTATTCATATATGATATATCTTGACATATTATTTTTTTAAATAGGTATGTTGAATAAATTAGATACACGTAGATAAGGCAAATGTTTCTTCATTATTAAGTCAACATCGAACATAGTCTTTTACTATTCAACAGAACATAGTCTTTTACTATTTTTCAAATATAAATAATCATTAATCTAAATTAGACTAATAAAATTCTTAAAATAAAATGAAAGAACAATCATCCACGGAACATAAAAGCAGGAACATAAAATATAAAGGTTATAATGAATTTTAGTTAATAAATATATGACGTATTATTATATTTTATATTATTTATCTTACATTATGTAAAAAATCGGGACAAATGGCGTCCCGCCTAAGGTTCTCTCGGGACAGCTCTAAAGAGAGTCGAAAATCGGGATGTCCCGAAAAATTCGGGACGGTTGGTCACCCTACTCACTGCGCATGATCGCAACAAGCGCCCATTTCGTGCAACGAACCCATGGACGTACAAAATATCTGGACAGAGCGTGAAGTACCCTTTTAGACGCGGGGAGTGATCCCTGAAGGGAGAGAGGCTCACAGTCGCGTCCATCTTAGATGCCTCAGATTTAGCGTCTATTTTCACGTCGCACGACGTTAACTAAGACATCACAATACATTCAGTGACATTACCCGCTGTCATTCTTACGAATATTGCACAAAAAATAAATAGTGTATATATTGTAACATGCCGGATTGTTGGGCTAAAGGCTGTAAAAGCCGAAATAATAATAGTCGGAAGAATAAAATGCAAGTACAATGGGAAAAATCTCATAACCAAAAAATTACATTTCATAGGTAAATTTTGCAATATAATTATGTCATATATTAATTGTTTATTGTTAACTTTTAATACTAATCGTATAATTAGAATACCTAAGAATCCAGAAGAACGTCAAAAATGGCTTGAAATAATGGATCTAAATAAAAATGTACCGGAAAATGCAAAATTGTGCTCACTACATTTTGAAGCAAGCGCTTTTGACAGAAGAGATTGTTATTATACCAGAATCCGGCCTGGTGTCATCCCATTTGTACATAAACAAAGAATTATCTAAATTATAAATATATAAGTTTAAGGGGTCTATTATGTAACTTTTAATAATTATTAAAAGTTTTTTAATAATTATTAAAAGTTACATAGAGAGCATTAATGCTCTCAGATAGCAATGCATATCTAAAAGACGTCCTAAAGATATCTTTAAGACATGCATGTTATCCGGGTTGTTATGCATCACTACGCTATTTTTTTAGATAGATATCATAAAATAGCTGCGCAATGATATATAACGACATTATTATTAAAGGTCAGAATAGGCTCCTAAATATGTAATATTTTAAAAAATATATATTTTGTACAGGGAAACGCGAGTGTGAGTAACATAGAAGCTCCAGAAAAGAAACAGAAAGTACTGGATACAAATCAAGAAAATATTAATATTGATCCCAAAACATTTAAAAATATATTTGACGTAGAACAAGGCATGTTTATAAAACTTAATAATGAAAATTAATTTTTATAAAATTGATAGCACAATAACAGATAATAATCTGAACGATTCTTTACAGTAACTGTAAAAGATAATTCTGATTGTCAGTTTGATATTCTTGAGTCAACAATGATAGATAATACTGTTATTAGTATTTCTAGCATTTCTGAAAGTAAGTATTCATTTTGTTAAAATAATTATAGTTAAAGATAATTATTTTCTTAAAACAAATTACAGATATTTAGTTTTATTAAATTATTATATATTTTTATTTGTATATTAGCGATTGATGTAGTTTCTCAACCAAGTACACCATGCAAAGTTAAACATCAGGCAATAGCAGTTTCACCACATCTTTCAGAACATACGCCAAGGAAACAAACATTAAGAACTGCATTGATCAACACTAGAAAACATTTTAACAATAAAATAAAATGTTTGCAACAAAAACACCGAAGGTCTATGAAATGCATTGCAAATTTGAAAAATGTATTGGCATCTTTAAAGAAGAAACATCTTCTTGATGCGCAACAATTGGACACTTTAAACGACATAGGTACATTTAATAAACAATTGTTATTGCGTCAAAGTAGTAAAATTCATAAAATACTAATGCGTCAACAATACGAGCCCGAGTTAAGATCATTCGCCTTAACATTACATTTTTACTCACCACGAGCATACTCATTTGTTAGAAAGAAATTTAATACATGTTTACCACATCCTAAGACAATTTGTAAGTGGTACAAATCAGTCAACGGTGAGCCGGGTTTTAATAAAGAAGTATTAATGTCGCTTAAAAAACGCGCCGAACTAGTAAATTACCCTCTTTTCGGCGTTCTTATATTCGACGAAATGGCCATAAGACGACATGTCGAATATGACGGTCAAAAATTTACAGGATATGTCGATTTAGGTCCTGACATTGATTGCGGAGATATTATAGCTAAAGAAGCATTGGTGTTTTTAGTAAATATAAAAAAAAAGGTAAA